CCACTAATGTAACACCCTTCTACCCCCAAAGAATATTCACGATAAGTATAAGCAAATATATCAGAGTATATCACCATAAGGGTGCTACATTTCGTCAAAAAACATCACATTAACGTCTTACTCCGTAACCCGAGTTCTGTCAACATAATTTAAATCAAATACTACACAGTGGAAAATCACATTACAACATAAATCATAACTCAAAAGTATTAAAACAAGAAACTCATAGTATCATGGGGTCAACAACAAAATGAACACAATGGTTCGACTCAAATGTCCCGACCCGACGTTACATATCAGAGCAAGACCATCTAATCAACAGAAAATGACCAAAGTACTTCAAGGCTAACTCTTCACGCTCCAAAAGAGCTAATCCTGATCACCTGCACGTTACCCACATGGAGACAACATTCAAACAGGCAGGATGAGTAATCACAAATCATCATACAAGATATAAAGATAAGATATATTAAGATGACATTCAGCATACAAAAACAACATCATCATGAAATTTATACGTCACCATTCACCAAGTATTATACTCACACCTTCATATCATATCACCACATATACATCTTCATTCATAAAGTCATCACATCAACAACTCATCATCAAAGCGTCTCTTAAGTCATAGCATCATCACACGTCATTTTAAGATCACCCCATCAATATAACAATCATTCACATAGATGCAATGCCACATAGCATGAAATGCAATAACATAGAATCATGCATGTGGTACCAAATCAACATGTTAATGGACAATAGGCCATCATCCTCCAAAGATCCCCACCAGAAGGATCGATTCTACACAAGAACCGGAGCACAACATAAACACCTTAATCCACATAATAGTATTGAAGCCAACACTAGACCGAAGTCCTATCAACAACACTAAACCGAAGTCCTACTATGCCATGAATGCATGATGCCAAACGTCATAATCATCATCATCACAGGATCATCAAGGTTGCATCATCATTCATAAAACTCACCAAAACATCATAAAATTATATCATCATTATGCATCGCAATTCTTCATATGACATCACAAATCAACATGTTATAATCATCAAAACACAACATATCAAATTCTCAAAGAATAAAGACAACACGACACAAGGCAGCACAAAAGAAGGAAAAGAAAAAAAAACACAGCTCCTGCTCACTTACTATTCGCCCGACAAAGCTGCTCGCCTGGGTTTCGCCTGGCGAAGTAGGGGCGAATTCCATTCCCCTGAGAAAAACCAAGAGCGCTCATTTTTCACCCTTGTCTCGCTCCCACTTTCGCTCGACGAGACTAGGGAAAATTGCTTTGCCCAGCGAGATGTGAAGTTCGCTCAACGAAACTGCGTGAACCTGCAACTTCTCAGTTGCGATTCTGCACTAGTTCAGACCCAAAATGACCTGCGATTTCAATACCAATCAGTCCAAAATTACTCATAAATTCCAATGAAATCAACACGATAACAACAATATATCACAATAGGTTTCATACATATCATCTTATCATGTTCCCCAAAATCCCCAACTACTTACATACATCTACCCATATCAATTATAACGACAAATGATACTCCCCATACCTTAGAGAACTCGATTGTGATCCTCCTCTTGAGTTCTTCCAAAATTGTTTTGAGCCCTAACCTTTTCTTCTACTCTTTCTTCAGAGCTCTTATCCCAAAATACGATCGTACCAAAATGATTTCTTTTCTCTCTATCTTCCTTTTTACCCTAGGACCCCTAATATGTGTTTCCAACTTTGTCCTCACTTAATCCACCCAACTTTACCCTTTTACCCTTAGTGTTCTACTTCTTTATTTAAAATAATAATAATAAGATCTTCACATTATCCACTATTATTATTATCAAAATAATTCTAATAAATCATATACTTCTAAATATCCTCAACACCCTCTTAATATCAACAGTATCCCCCAACACAAATTATCAGACATCAAAATATTTCACCAAAATCATGAATATTTAGAATAAGTAAATTAAATAAATATTCTAATTATTTTGGGGTGTTACGCACTATACCAACTGTATTTGTTCCTTATATAAGGCATATCAAAATGTTCATTTCTTCTATAAATTATTTGAATTCCCTCATTTTGGAGTTCCTATTATTAGCTAGATTTCCCTTTTTTGTTTTCCCTAGGTTTGACAATGGAATTAAAATCACCACACAAACATCAAACCCCATTTACAAATTTCTTCTTAATCTCAAGAATATCCCTCAATAACTTCCTCTTCAAAATTATATTGCAAGGGCAATAAACATTGACAATATAATAAATATGGTCCACCCGCTTCAATTTAATACCTAAATACCCTTCACCACTAAAACTACATATAATTTCTACTGAATCCTCATTCCAAATCATTATAAAACCTCCATATCGATCTATAGTATTAGTATATGACCAACCCACTTACTCATGACCCCATATACTATGAACTATAGAGTTATTAGAACTTTGAGTTTAGATTCGTGAATGAGAAAAATGTCAACTTTAACTAATATAGTTACATGACTAATTCTCACGCGCTTTGACTTGTTGCCTCCTCCTCTGATGTTGAGAGAGCCAATATTCATATTGCTAATTGGTTTGCCGCCTTTGGAATCTCTTTCCTTTCTTTATCTTTTGCCTCCATTTCTGATATCTTCTTATAATCTTTGCTCTTATCCTTTGGCATTATACCTAAATTGGAGATTGTCTTCCGAACTTTGTCTCCCACATTTGATTCTAAGTTATCTCAAAGTATGATATTACTTTGACGAACATCTAAATCTAAGGTCAACCACAACACAAAATAGATTTTCCTAAGAAACAATCTTCATCCTCCTTAAATCTAGATGGGGTTACAATTTTGAAAGAAGATTTTGATTTAGCTTTGGATTTTGGTTGTCTCAGAACTGTAAAGTAAGAAAGTTGTGCTAGGGTTTCCAATTATTGGTCAGGCGAATGAGTTTCCTTTGATGACTCTTTCAACAAAATGTGAGTATTAGGCAGTAAGGTTCAATTGAGATGGGCACATCCAGTTCTAAAGCTTCCTTGTCATTATGGACTTCAACACCACAGGATGTGCCTATTTGTAATACCTCCTTCTCCCTTCATGGTTCATTGAATTTGAAAAAAGTATCCAATGAAAAGTTCTCCCAGTGTCCTCTTTCTCGTTGACTTTGATTTGATTAGGTGCCCCCACTAGCTTTTAACCTCTCTTCTTTTTCCACTTTTGCCGCCTCCAATGGTGAGTCTAAATCATTGCTAACATTTTTCTGCTTCACTTTTGGAGAAGAATCTTGACAATTCTTTCCAAAATATTTCTTTACGGCTCTAGTCGGCTCCTGAAAATTATCCTCCTTGAATAGTCTATCAACACCTTTTCCTCCTTAAGATTTGCTTGAGGTTCTCTTTGAAATCCATTCTTCTACTCCTTCCAAGTTCTCTTTACCCCATAAACTTGTTGAATCCGAGCTTTTTTTCGACCGGTTCGATAACTGATAAGAATGTTTCAAGGAAATACGCATAGGAGCGTGGGAGTCTTCCGTAATTTTATTTCCTGAAGAACTCATCAGTTATCTTGACATTGAACGTTTATTTAAGAACTACCGAACATTTAGTTCTAACCAGAAACCTCAATATGTCCATGCATTCAAGTTACTATTTCCACCCAAAAATGGAGTATTCCACGCATGACAAGGGATGCCAAAATATCTTAACTAAGTTAATATTTACTTGTCAACATCGTCTTCCTTCCATTCCCTAATTTTAGAGAACCATTGACTCCATTGATCTCTCCTTGCTCGCTTTCTTCCCATAAGCAAATATTAGCTCTGAGAGGAGTAACTTTAAGGGATAAATATCTTTATGTTTCGAAATTACATCGAATGTTGTATGACCTTCTTGGATTAACCACAAACCAACGAAAGCCTTCTTGTATCTCTCAAGGTCTTCTTATTTAGAATTGAACTTTAGATGTGCTAAAGGTTTTCTGAAGAAGTTTTCAGAATATTTTTCTTTGTTGCCAACCACCTCAACAAAAGATCTTATTTCCATCGATCCTCCTTTGGATCCCATTCTTCTTGATATGGCCCCATCATGATCCAATGTACCTCTTGATATTAGCATGAATCTTTTTGTTATCAATAAATATATTGTCCAGTCAGATCGCTAACATTCTATCATCTTCTACTTCTTTATACCTAACAAAACCAATTATTCTCCAAAAATTGTTCCTCTTAGGAGGAATAACTACTTCTAAAATGTTGCCATGTTTCTTGTAGAGGTGGAAAATGTCTTTAGCCCCTACAATGATCCAGAAATTCTGAAAAATAAATTGAAAAAAATGCAATCTTCAGAGCCACCTTGCATTCTTTCCCCACCCCCAACTCAGGAGAAGCTTCCCTCTTCTTCTATCACCTCTCCTAGAAACTTTTTGCCATTCCATTCTCAATGACAAAGAGAACCAGTCTGAAAAGTTTGTATTATGATAACAAAAGGTGTTTTGAAAGGTTTAAAATGAAAAACAAGTTTGGTTGAAAGAGTTTGAGTATGAGACGGGTCTAGGTTAGGTAAAATTCTAGAGAGTAGGTAGAGCTTCTCTCTAACCAACATCTGTGAACCAATTTTGACAATGTTCTTGTCCAGTTTTGTAGTTTTAAAGTAGTTTTTCTCTTTTTTCATATGCTTGAGATATGATACAAAAATCGTGTATCCTAATAACAAATCATAGTAAAATAAATATAATAGCTTTGGATGAAATAGCATTCACAATCATAACTTTTTGCTTAAGGTTAGTAACTGTGTAAATGAGTTCCGTACCAATGTTAATGATTATTGTTAGGTTATCCTTAAAGAATATATCGTAATTTATCAAATTATATATGAACATATATCGATAAACGCAGATAACATGCATATATGCATCTGAATTTCAAACAATTTCATAACTGGTTTAACATTCAATAAAACTGCACCAAAGTAACAAAATTAACAAGACATTGGAGGAAGATCATAAGGCTCATCGTGGTGTTGTTTTCTGAAACCACTGCCAGAGAAGAAGAAACCAAGAGCATGACCAAGCACAGCAACCAAGAACACACCTCCATTGAAAGACATGAGTGCCAACATAACCAAATAAGCTAGGCCAACCCTAAGAACATGCAAAAGGGTCTGAACCAGACCGGCAACAACAAGGTTTGAACCGGGTTTGATGATCCGGGTGTGGGAGAGTAACTCGATGAATACCGACATGAAGAAAACAATGATCAAGGCCAATGCATACATACCAGAATTACCAGCAGGCCATTGGTCGAAGAGAATCAACGCGTCCTTTCCCCAATAAAATGTCATGTGCATCATGTCGTGCATCTTTTGACCCGTCATCATCGTGCCATTGGTGGATGATGATGAGTTTGGTGCCATTGTCATTCCATCGTGGCCGCCGTGCATATCCATGACTGCGTTTGATCAGAAGAGGGTTGGTGATGAATCTTTATATATTTATTGTGATGGTGTGTAGTACAGTCATGGTTTAATATTGTACTGCATTATATTTTTCTTTTTATTAATATTGTACTGCATTTTATTACTTTAAAGAAAATTATAAGCTTAGGTGTAATTAAATTGTGATTTATAATTTTTAAAATAAAAATTGTGATCATATAAAAAAAACATTTGTTGACTACAAATTATTCATTTTAACAATAAAGTTAAAAATCAATTTAAAGAGGTCATTTATCAAAACTAAATAGCTTCTCACATAGCATAAATTTGACATATTTAAATAAATAGACTTTATAAAAAGTTTAAGTTTAATTTTTTTACTAAACAAGTTAGAACGAGACAAATTTTAAGTAGGTCTATGAGATGGCCTGATCTATTTGTGATAAGTAAAATGTGTGTAATCATACGTGTGATATTTTGAATAAGAGGTTTTTAGGATTCTGGTATCTAAAAAAGTGATAGGTGTGACTTAACTTGTTAGGTAGTTATGTGTAGCCTATGTGTCCTAATAAAACATGTCGAGTCTTAGTCTACAATTTCAATCATGATTTGTACGACCTTGTTTATTAAGGAGTGTGATGCATGACACATTAGCAGAGATATACCAAGACGTGGCAGTAAAGTGCCTAAAATACTTGAGCTACATTCTCGGTTATAACATAAACGACCACGCTCTATTGGGGAGCGTGAAGACCATCTCATTAGCAAAAATGTGGGTTGGGATCCACTCCATTTCTTTGTCCCTCCATTTTCTCCATTACTATAGTTTTGTGTGTAAATAACACACATTTCTAAGACATGTGACATATAATTAATATTTAGTTAATTTTATATACATAAAAACTATAGTAATGGAAAAAATAGAGGGACAAAGAAATGGAGTGGATCCCAATCCCAAAAATGCAGCATGATGTGGCGAGCTTGCCTAATTGTCAGGCATGTGATCTAAATTGTCTAACCTCATTTATGTCGTCTTCATGCACCTTTAGTGGTCACAAGCGAGTGGGTCAAGATTAATGATATTATTTGGGCATGGAGCATAATAGCCCACAACTCTCCAAGCACGAAGCATGTAAGGGGCGGAGTGATTAAGACATTGTGTGGGTTATGATATTTATAACAACCTATACCTCCTGTAACATCCTACTTCCCGACTCGACAGTTAATTAATAAAACATGTATAAAAATTAAATATTCACCCAGCTAGATGTTATTTACAACCATCCAAATATTTTTTGAATCACATAATAAAGAAACAACTCATTTGATAAACAACAAAATTACAAAAACACTTGGCATAAAAACCTCAATAGTATTATTAGTTTAAAAGGCGGTTCATTAAAAAATGAAATCAAACAAAAAGATACACAACATAAACAAGAATATAGGACAACATTTTCCCCTCGTGTTACGTATCAGAGACTCCAACAGTAGACTCGAACGATAAGCAACTAAAGAGGTACAATATCATCCTCAACCTCAAGCTCCCACTCAGTTACTTGATTATCTGTACTTTATAGGAGCAAAGATGCAACAACACACAAAAAAAGGGTGAAAATCCTTCAAATAATAAACGGTGTAACACCCTTCTAACCCCACGGAAAAATACATAATTAATTAGAGTAAAATAACATGCTTTTACAAAAGGGCATCACACAATTTTATAAAATCTCAACATTCACCTGTCATGCTCATGTAACATTGAAATAAATAGTCATGTTATTAAATTTTTCATCTTGCATGTAACAGCGGATTCAATTTATTTACATAAATCCCTTCACAGAATATTCATGTTCATCACATAATCATCAACACTTAGGCACATAGGCCATTATCACATATTTCAAATACATTTAAAACACAACTTAGAATACACAATATCTCTAAGGCATAACCCAACGATCCCAGTGTTACATAACCAGAGCATGACCTGACCCAACATAATTAAATACTAAACAACTGCACCAACAACGAACTCGCAACTACTAGCCGTACTACACCAAGATACCTGCACGCTGTCATATAGGACATCATTCCAGCAGAAGGGTGAGAAATATTATCATAATAATCAATGCATACAATTATATATATATATATATATATATATATATATATATATATATATATATATATATATATATATATATATATATATATATATATATATATATATATATATATATATATATATATATATATATATATATATATATATATATATATATATATATATATATATATATATATATATATATATATATATATATATATATATATATATATATATATATATATATATATATATATATATATATATATATATATATATATATATATATATATATATATATATATATATATATATATATATATATATATATATATATATATATATATATATATATATATATATATATATATATATATATATATATATATATATATATATATATATATATATATATATATATATATATATATATATATATATATATATATATATATATATATACACAAGTATAGAATACATATAACCCACATTATCTCACCCTAATTCATTTCCATTATCAGATGCATCACAACGTGCATATAAACAACATAGGCATTCATCAAGCATTATCATCATGCATACTTCCATAAATCTCAACATCCCACATAAACATACACATGTTATGTTTTATCCACTAATTCACTATTACACATTCACATTTCTCAATTACACAAGTAATGCACATACGCATATTCCACAAGTCTCAACATACTTCATCATAACTCATTATATACTTTACCAAGCATACTTATATAAACAAATATGGACAATCATCAAGCATATTCATCATGCACATATCCATAGTCCTCATCAATCCACATAACATACACATAAGCATTTTTGCATACAACAATCTTATATTCACACTCTCAAATCAACAAGTCATGCACACACGCATGCTTCATACAACAATAAAAAATGTGTCACGTGACTCAATGCAACTCATGCCATGTGGTACCAACACATGTTATCATTTTTTGGTTTTTACGTTTAAATCGGGTCCACCCTTCTAGACCGATAACAACAAATCTCATCCCCTAGGCTTCAAACCCAACCTTCTAGGTTTGGGACAAGCCACTAGTCTCCACGAAACTAGCAAGCATTGCCTCTTGACTAAATGATGCATATGCAATCAACCAACAAAATGCACTTAAGACTGTAACACCCCCTTCTATACCCCAAATAAACGCATACAAAACAATCAAGCACATACAAATTCATCAGAGTAAAAGTTTTAGAATAAGGTATAAAAGAAGAATGTCACAACTTCACCAATAAAACACTTTCACATTTTTCTCTATAAGATATGTAACATTTTCAAAATTAAGCGGAAGATCAAATCATTTAATCGTTTTCAAAATATTAATTCAAATGCACATAAGTCATCCAGATTAATACATCATATTAGTTAAATTACAAAACTACATCAGGTGATACATCGCAATGTATCACAAAAGAATGACTATACTAGTCTAACTACCCGGTGTTACATATCAGAGCAGCAGACTCAAAAGAATGAAGACTATTCTTCACAAAAGGACTCCAGCATCCTAATCTGCAATGCCTCATAGAGCATTATAAAATAGCAGAAGGGTGAGAAATATAACCATAATAATCAATGCATAAGATTATATATATATAGGTATTCGTATAACACATATTCACATTTCTCACCACACTTCATTCTCATAATCATAATCATATCACGTTCACATATATCAACATTATGAACATCCACAAGCACATCCCTTCATGCCTGACTTCACAATCATTCACAAGCACATTTGTATCACAACTATATTATGCAATGTGACTCAACATATTCAATGCAACTCAATGCTATGCGGTACCGACTCTCGTTATCTTTTTTCGGTTTTCACATTAAACCGGGTCCACCCTTCTAGACCGATAACAACCAAGCCCATCCCCTAGGCTTCAAACCCACCCTTCTAGGTTTGGAACAAGCCACTAGTTTCCACGAAACTAACAGACATTGCCTCTTAACTGAATGATGCATGTACAATCAACCAATCACAATAAATGCACTTAAGACCGTTCCCGCGTCTTAATCCCATGCATTCGAATAATTCACCCCTTCGAGAATTTCATCATGATTGCACATACAACATATATCAAACATTTATCAATGTATTCATTTCACACATCATCATCATATTCAACAACAATGCACACATATCACATATGTTCCCATGCATTCACACAACAATCGCATACATATATGCACTCACAATTCATTAGACGATACACATACATTCCTCAGTGTATTCCCATGTATCTCTAATTATCACAACAATCAAGGTATTCACATCGCAATACCAATCATACAATTATAAGTTATGCACACATATTCAAAATGTTATCATGCATACTCATTACATAATTGTATACACATCGAGCATTCGCAAATTCATTAAATAATACACACATAATCACTTATTATGTTCACATGTATTTACACTTGATGCAATTAACCTTTGAATCATAATTCTAGGATTCACGCCCGTAGGCTATCCACAGCACACATTATCACAATAGATCATATCTATATTCATATCATAAGGTATCCACCTATGTGAAACAACCAAACCATCTCCACATGATCAACACAGCAAAAGAAAAATGCTGTCAAATTCGCCTTCGTTCGCCTGGCGAACCCTCGCAGCGAACCTTCGCCTGGCCTTCGCCTGGCGAACTCTCTCAGCGAACACTCGCTAGGCTTCGCCTGGCGAGACTTCCCAGCGAGCCCAAGTCAGTAGCTACTGACTTCATTCGCCACTCTTCGCCAGCACCTTCGCTGGGCGAACCTTCGCTATCCAACTTCGCTTGATGAACTCGCCAGCGAAGTCCACTGGGACTTAATCATAATTACTCGCCAGCATTC